GCGGCATAGCCGATACGTTGAAGCAGCAAGCAGCAAGCCGCTATTTGGCAGGCCTTTCTATTGGCGATAGGTGGGCTCAGGAGAGGAAGAGAAGAGGAGAAGAGAGTAAAGCTCCTGTCAGAAGCTCCGCCTTGAAATCCAATTTCGAGCCTTGGGCTGCACCTTCGACTCTATTTTCGCTTGTCGCTCTCTACTACCGCGAACGTGGTTCTATAGCTGTCTCCACGGTCGTGGTATGCGCGACGCTCTTCCACCCCGCCTGTGAATTTTTGCCGACATACCTCGCGATGTGAGAAAACTCCCTTCTACACTCCTGTTTGTCTCGGATCATTTCGTGAAGGTTACGACTTAATTACATCGAGGTTGCACGATACGGAATTTCTTTTTGGTTCTTTTTACGCTTTTTATTTTGAGGATTAGGCTTCATTGAGTTTGTTTTATGAAATAGACTCTTTCTCACTCCATCCCTCCCTCCCTCTCTCTCTCTCTTTCTCTCGTTACCTCGGACTGTAAGCTGATCTTTCGCGAGCGAGGATGTTAATTATAATGTTCCGCGACGCGTTAAATCCTCCAACAATAATTGGCCTGAGTCCCTTTTGGTAGCAAACAAACAAACGCCGGTGTTCATTACAGTGAGTCCGCGGACGGTCGATTAAGTGCACTTTGCGATTTCGAGTGTGCACTCCAAAGGTAGCAAGAAGAAGCAGCTGTGCGCGATATTTGAACGGAAAATACGGTCGCGATCGCCAATAAATATCTAACATTTTCCAATATGACTTGCGCGCGCTCGGTGGCAAGGAAACGACCGGAAAGGATAACGGTGAATCGAAGTAATTCCGAGTCGCTCGTTCGAGCGACCGAGCAAAATTATGTTATCGTCGACCGTTGTCGTTGCATTATTTTTGCTACTCCATGATTGGACTCCCTTACGCAATAAGAAACCGATATTTTCAATCAAGACGCCGCGACGGCAATATCGCGCGCGGGTCGACGTTAACAGGTGTCGACGGGAGTAGCCTGCGAATTCATATTGAAACTGTCGAAGCTAGGGAACATCAGGCCCTTGTCGGAGAAGGGCACTACACTTTATATTACTTTACCAAAATTTAGTTTCATATACAAACACCACACGGAAAAAAAGATTTGCTAATATATGAACAACTAAAAATATCAACTGCAGGAGCAAATTTTTCTTGCTTTCATAGTAAAAGTTATTTAGTTGTGATAGCTAAAAGATTTGCTGATATATATATTAGCAAATCAAAAATATATTAGCAAATCTTTTAGCTATTACAACTAAATACTTTTACTATGAAAGCAAGAAAATTTGCTCCTGCAGTTAATATTTTTAGTTGCCCATATATTAGCAAATCTTTTTTAAAAATAACAAATATTTTTTTTCCGTGCATGAATAACCCGCGCGGTATCATATTGAGTTGTGCAATAATTCATTTCGGATTTTCTCTCCAGATATAGTGAAGCGATTATATTTTTAAAAGGGCGGACACACATTATCTCTCTTTCTCTCTCAATCTCTCGGACGCCTCTGTCGCAGAGCTGACACTGCAGCGGCCGCTTCAGAGACAAGAGCAAATGATAACCTTTTGAAGTCTGAAGCTAGTAATTTTCAACAGTAACCAAAGGGAGCGTACATAATAAAAAAGATTAAAAAGAAACGCCTTCTCTATTCGTATCTCGTGTATGAAAAGATGGCAAGGTAGTCTGACCGGGCACACTTTCTTTTAAAATTTACAAGTTACAACTTTTCACACAATAATCGATTGTGACTAACATGATAAAGACAAACATCTTGTATGATGTTTTGTGCCCGTATTGAACCATATATTTTCTTCTGCAATAATCGAAATACGAACATACGGCAACATGTCCAACTTGATTCAAAGCAAGTTGGCACAGCAACTCGAGGTAAGAAGGCCACATATAAAATATTGTATATATTCTGATTTATAGTTTCGGAGTGAAGAGACAGCCCCGCCCCGGCTTTTTAAATAATGGCCAACTTTCCCTCGTTCGTCCATATGTACGATTTCAATAGCTTTATGAATGAAATCTGCTTTTATCACCTGGAACAGTGTATCACAGACTTACTTTTAAAAATATAATCGCTTCACTATATCTGGAGAGAAAATCCGAAATGAATTATTGCACAACTCAATATGATACCGCGCGGGTTATTCATGCACGGAAAAAAAATATTTGTTACTTTTAAAAAAGATTTGCTAATATATGGGCAACTAAAAATATTAACTGCAGGAGCAAATTTTCTTGCTTTCATAGTAAAAGTATTTGGTTGTAATAGCTAAAAGATTTGCTAATATATTTTTGATTTGCTAATATATATATCAGCAAATCTTTTAGCTATCACAACTAAATAACTTTTACTATGAAAGCAAGAAAAATTTGCTTCTGCAGAAAACTTCGTCCTAACACGACGTCACTTAGCTTAATTTACTCACGATGGAGGAAACTAATACGAAATTTCGAGACGCTGAAAGTATGTATTTTTGGTTGTTTCAGTTTTTTTCTATTTTCTAACTGCAATACTGTTCCAATTTCAATGGAACTCAGAGAAAATATTTATGTTTCAAAAGGAATATTTTGCAATTCCGTTTCCACTGCTTCCCTCACGATAATCACACAAAGACAACTAGCCCCGGCCTCCTCAATACCACTGGTCTAACTCTGTGCAGCTCTGAGAGAAATGACAAATCATTCCGAGAAATAAATTGCACGAAGTGATCCCGCGAGGCACATCCCTTGGAAACAAAAGTTCGTTCGCTCAACGGCGACCGCGTGGTGTGAAGGAAGCTTAATTCTTCTCGCGTGAAAGTCGTGACAAGCGACGTGAAAGAGTGCCGCCGTGCCGTTTGCCGTGTCACGCTAATGCTCGCAGTAAGTAGAATCAGATAAAAACCAGTTAATCCATCTTATGTCGCGCTCGTTGCTTACAAGCGTTAAATTACGAGATTTACGACTGCCTCCGGCACATTGGTTACGATAAGTGACTCGAATCGGCAGTTTAGCTTTTTACCGACCGAGATTCGATCTGGAGGCCGCGATGAGAACTATATATAATAATACAACTTCATAATATATAATGCAACTTCACAATGAAACTAAGTAAAAAAAAAAGTAGCAAACACTTTTGTACACTGAGAAAAAATTTACTAAATTTCAAAAAACGTTTGTTTGGATAGTACTATGAAGATATTTGTTTAAATTAAGTAATTAATTTCTAAAATTAAATAAAGAAGTTTTAAATATAAATTTGTTTCTTTAATTTTAGAAAATAATTAATTTAAACAAATATCTTCACAGTACTATCCAAACAAACGTTTTTTGAAGTTTAGTAAATTTTTTTCTCAATGTATATATTATTTCATCATTATAGATTCCTGAGTCGAAATTTGGGTTCTACTTTAATCCTGCAAATTTCGTCGAACTTGGAGGATCAATGGGAAAAAATCTCGAGATAAAATAAATAAATAAATACAGTATTAACACTGTAAGACTACTATTTAATGAATTTCAGTCAAAGTGGTCAAAATAATGTTACTGAAAAAAATACGTAAATTTGAAGATAGAGAAAGACTTTCTACGTTCTTTTAAATTGCATTCAACATCAATTAAAAGTACTAAAGGCACCGTTATAAGTTTAATAAAAAACTCATTTTGATTTAAAAAATCCTATTTTAATTTATTTTGATAGTAAATTCATAACAAAGCCGTCATTGCTTTGGTAATTCTAATGTTAAACAGATTACTATTTTTTTATGAGAAATCTTTAGTAGTTCAATGTTAGTATTGTTTTTTACAAGAAATTGCAAACCCGTCAATTACTTCGTAATTAAACAACAAGCTGTTGTTCCGCATTAATACTACAAACATTTATTTTCTGCCGTTTTTTTCGTACTGAGATTATACGGATTCTTTCATACTGAAAAGAAGCTCACTCATTCAAACATCATTTAACATCCGATTATCTCAGATGTCTAACGAAGATTGAACGCAGTTAGACTGAGACGATCGGATACTAACGAACAAGTCCTTCTTTGTCTCTAAAACAGCACTAAGTGACGCAATTCCTGGCACCAAAAGGCAACAGTCTGTATAACGCCCCGAGATCCTCCATTGTGTTACGTTCGAGTTCGCTGGAAGCTGCAGGGTTAACGCGGAGCCGAAATCTCGGCTCGGGTTACGAGATGTATACGTGCCGCTCAATTACGCGAATATAAAGTTAAATTGGTCCAATGCCATAGATTAGTCCGCGCTCGTGAAATTAATTATCGTCCAGTGCAAATTACACGAGATTTCCCGCGGATGGGTGGAATTCTCTCGTCGGATATTCGCGCGTCGATTATAAATCCGCTAACAGCCGCGGAGAATTACAAACTTCACGTCGAAGCGACCTACATGGAAAATCCCGCCTGTTTGAAGGCAGACATTACGGCGGCTTCGGGGGCCCGCGCGATATAGCATAGTTTACGCACATCTTCCCCGGTCGAAGTTCTCTCTCTAATGGCGCTCCGTGTAATTCTCAACGGCAGCTGCGCGATGAGGTGCGTTCAAGCTCTGTCTGTCGACATGTCGACCGGTACACTTAAACGGAACGTCCCTAATTAGCCGCTACGAAATACTCAATAGAGAGTCCCGTTCACTCCTCTCCGCGGCCGCTCAGGCGCTCGCGGTATCGCTAATTGGAATTTGTAACGAGTCGCGCGCACAATGAATAGAGCGAACAGGTTTTTCCCGAACGCCCGCGCGAGTTGCATTATGTAAAGCGCGCCGTTTTTAAGGACACAGTACCCCACATACCTACTATTTCTGTTCTATTTCTCCCTCTCTCTCGCTGGTTGCTTTTCCATGTCACGAGGAGAGCGATTCGCCTCGCCGTTACGCCGGTGACATTTGCATATCTCAGCTCGAAAAGAGAGGCAGGACGACAATTTGTGAAGAGGTAATCGCTAATGTGTACTCACCTTCGCGTAGTCGATTTTCAGTGTGCAGCAGCCCGAGTAAATGTCAGCCCCGTGAAGCGCCTCTTTCACTCTAGTTGCAGATTCTACCGAATCAAACGTGATGGCCGAAGAGATCGGTTAAGGATTGTATGCTTGACAATTTGTGGGCAGGGAAATTAACTTCGGTAATTTCACTTTGGCGGTCGGTTTGGAAACCCACTCAAATCACAATAAATTTGTCATTCGCGCGAACACGGCGATGATATGTGAATCTTGAGAGGCGTTGCTGTTATCGAGCGTTATAATTTGCGAGAGAAATAACTGATAAAAATAGTTCAAATTTTTGTTGCATATTTTGTTCAATATCGTGAGAGTGGAAAATCTGATGATAACACGTGAAATTTGAAAAGTATTGCACTTATCGAGTATTATATAATCTGCACGGAAAATAACTGATAAGAATAGTTCCAATTTTTGTTGCACGTTCAATATCGAGAGCGTCAAGTGAAAAATCCGACGATAACACGTGGAACGTCGCACTTATCGGACGTCACAACTTGCAGAAAATAATGAACGAGCGTAATTTCAAGTTTCATCAATCTCGCGAAGTTATTCTATCGGGCGTTTCGCTTTTGATATCGCGTGCATTAAATGGCGCTGCTCGTCGAGGGAAATAAGACCATGCGAAATGTTGCGAGCGGACACGACGGCGGTACGGCGCGATCGACGAAATATGCTGGAACGTAACGCACTAACACGGAAATTTCAAGGAGTTCGCAACCACAGCCTGGCACAGCGTTACTCTCCCACAAAGTGGTCGTTGCACAATGTAAATGGCGATAAAACCCGGCGCAACGCGATGCCTAACGAATTTATAGTCGCACGGGACGCAGCACGGCTCGACTATTGCCCGGATCATAATACAGAATATATTCCGCCACGTGGAGATTTACCGAAAATACGACTCTGCCCCTCTCCCTCTGTTTCTCTTCCTCCTCCTTCCTTCACGCACACGCAACATTCTCACACAAGTAACACATTCTACCCAAATGCCACACGCCGATCTTCTTGAAACTTTGCACACATGTAGTACATCGAAAAACATTAGACATGTATTTTTTTATTTTGGTTAACAAGGCATTTTAAGATTAGAAAACGCATTCGAAAATTTAACACTCTATAGCACAATGATAACTAACGCTACTCCTGAGTCATTCTTTTACAGCTTTTATTCTATTATAATTTTATTGTCTGAATGTTTCTGAAGTCGCTAATTATGATTTTGACATTAGTTTAATTATGATTTTGACATTTTGACATTAGTTAATTATGATTTTGACATTAGTATCGTAATCGTAATCATGGGGTAAAACTTCTTCGAAACTGACTTTGAATAAAGTCTTTAAAATGTCTGCGATTTCGGTCCGCCATTTTGAACCTCGCAAAACTAATGTCAAAATCATAATTAGCGACTTTAGAAACATTCAGACAATGAAATTATAATAATGTCGTAAAAGCTGTAAAAGAATGACGCTCAGGAGTAGCATTAGTTATCATGGTAGTATAGAGTGTTAAATTTTCTAATTTAAATGCGTTTTCTAACCTTAAAATGTCTTGTTAGCCAAAATAAAGTCTTTGAAATGTCTGCGATTTCGATTCGCCATTTTGAATCTCGCATTTTTGACTAATGTCAAAATCATAATTAGCGACTTCAGAAACATTCAGACAATGAAATTATAATAGAATAAAAGCAATAAAGGAATGACTCAGGAGTAGCATTAGTTATCATGGTGCTATAGAATGTTAAATTTTCGAACGCGTTTTCTAATCTTAAAATGCCTTGTTAGCCAAAATAAAAAAATACGTGTTTACTGTTTTTCGATGTACTACACGCAAAAAAATTTCGAAATTGATTTCAATTTGGTGCAACCAAATAGAAACCAACTGAAAATTAAATGATCAGAAACGATATCTCTACTATGAAAAGTAATATTTCTGTTGTCGCAACCGTAAATATTCGTCTGAAGATTCAAGGATAGAACTCGGTTGAGGCAACTGAGAACCATTAACTATACAGAAGCCTCATAAAAGAATTTTTCTGTTCCTACAGCCGATTTTTCATCTGATCTCTGAGCAACCGAAAATTTGGTTGCACCAACAGAATTGTTTTTTCCGTGTACATGTGTGCAATGTTTCAAGAAGATTGGCGTGTGGCACTTGGGTAGTGTTACTTATCAGTGTTACTTGTCAGTGTCGAGCACGCGCACGGAGCGTCGAACGGGTGCGAGGAGCAAACGAGAGGAGCGGAAGGAGTTTATGGCGAAAAAGTCGAGCCTCCCGTCTCAGGACCGAATCCCCGTTATAAATCTTCATTACGCCGGTAACTGTCGCTGCGTGTCTTGACAAAGTTTCCGGCGCTCGGAGAAGCGTGTCAGACGGCGAGTTGATCCCGCGGGCTTCGGAGTTCACCGCCGCCACCTCGAGCTCGAGCGTGGATGCGTTTTACTGCGGGGGACCTTTGACTCGCGCGCTCTGTCGCCTCCGAGAGTTAGCCGTGTAAATCAAATTCGCGTGAAACAGGACAATACGCTCGAGCGAAGGGCCGACCGTTTCGCGACGTCATTTGCGGGATTTCCCGCGGACATTCAGATCGCTCGTCGTATTGCTCGATGGGATTTTCCCGCGGCGAATTCCGCGCGATGAGAACACATCGTGTCCCCTTATCTTCGTTTTCTCCAAACGAAATTATACCAGCGCGCGAGACTTAAATCGCTCTCTTTTCTTTGTGTCGTTTGGGTGAGACGGTATTCTCTCAATAAAATTAGATAATTTTATTAAACGGACTAATAAGAGTCTTACACCGATCTTTGTGCGGAAATGAAATTTAACAGACAAAGTATCTCCTGACTATCGGTTTTGTATCTCCGCGCAACCCTGCCGACCCTTAAGGGCCGGTTTTTCAATAACATACGGAAAAAAATAATTTGCTGGCCCAGAAAATTTTCTGCTGGTCTAGCAAAATCTTTTCGTTATTACGTGAACAGCAAAAAGATTTGCTAAGAATACTAATCACTATTTGCTGGATATAATTTGCTGCATCTACAAATTATTTTGCTATAAGAACCATAATTTATATAAGCAGTTGCAGTTTTGCTCCGATAGCAAATAAATTTGCTAAGGATATATTATTTCGCATCAATAGCAAATTAACGTGATTCTTAAGACAAATACATCCAACAAATTTTTTCCATTCTGGCAACGAAACTACTTCTGCTCTGATAACGAATAATTTGTAAAATTAGTTACGTCAACTAAATTTTTTTGATGTCACTAGGAATATACAGTAGCAACGACGATTTTGCTAAAAGAGCAAAATTACTTTTCTCCGTGCAGTTTAAACTTGGATTCAAGTTTAAACTCTATTCCAAAAATGCGCTTGTTTTGTCTAAACCGAGTTTCAGTTAAAATCTAAGTTTAAACTATCATTGAAGAATCGGCCCTCAGTGATGGCCAACTTTATTTCGTTCACCCATAATACTTGCTTTCTATTATTTTATGAATGGAAATTTTAGTACCCGAAATAATGTACTATTCATTTGTAGAAAACTTCAATCTGACTAATAACACGTCACTTATTCACTCACGATGTACAATATTAATAATAAACTTCGGGATGCTTGAAAATATTATTTGGCTGCTCCTAAGTCAATATTTTTTCTATTTTTTAACTGCGATGTTGTCCCAATTTTAATGAAAGTCAGAGAAAAATATTTGTGTTCTGAAAGGAACATTTTCGTGTTTCCACTCTATTCCTCTCACGACTAATATACAGGGTGTCCGGTAACTGATCGAGCAACCGCCGTGTACGAGTAGAACGGGTCAAAATAATCATAAAAGTTATATATTATTTTGAAATTTTCTCAACATTTATTCCATAATTAAAATGTACGAACGAATAAGCGCATAAAAAGCGGTAGGATAAGCTCTGTGTGTAAAAGAAATGGCTTACCTCTTAGCAACGATGAGTAAACAGCTGATTTCGAGGCGGAGTAACAAGCGACGCGTATACGTTACTCGAAATCAGCTGTTTACTCATCATTGCTAAGAGGTAAGCCATTTCTTTTACACACAGAGCCTGTCCTACCGCTTCTTGTGCGTTCATTTGTTCATACATTTTAATTAATTATGGAATAAATGTTGAAAAAATTTAAAAATGGTATATAACTTTTATGATTATTTTGACTCGTACACGGCGGTTGCTCGATCAGTTATCGGACATCCTGTATAAATAAAGCATATGCCAACGTACACTTTGAAATCAACTAAATCCAGTTTCCCTTAAACTTTCTTTCCGAGCAAAGACCAACATATGACTCTTATTAGATATTGTTATTCGATATCAAAGTCTAAATCAATAAGTAATATATTTATCAAGTTATTGAGGTATCAAACCGCTTCTTCGCGCAGTAAAATCTGCAAACGAAGAGGTGGCAATGCCTAACTAATTTGTTCTACTGTGAGAAACTGCAAAAATACGTGCACGCGCGCGTTACAACGGCCACTTAGTGGGGGAAGAAACGACCCACCATCTCCTCATTTGCCGTTTACAGGCTAAGTAAATCTCCGCGAACTCTGAGCACAGATACCGGCGATTTCGCTGATACGTCCCACGGAAAAGTTTCACGGCTCTGTTAATCCTTTATACACGAACACGCAATATCCGCAGTCGTAAAGTAGTATTACGCCGCTGCGCAAAGAGGGAGGCACACACTAGCTGCACCCCCCGGCGTGCATCGTCCCTCTCGGTGATTTATCGCGAGCGGGTAATGCGCGAGCGCGCCGTTGAATTTAAAGTGTTAATTTGCGCGATTGAGATTTACACGGCGATTCTCGAGATTAGTATTAAAGCGAACCGCCAAATTTGCTCGATCGTTGCGCGCGCGCAGCGCCACAGAGTGTCGGGCGAGCAGAGGGTGTATAGCAAAGGATATTCTATCATGGCCTGCACGCCATTTTTCTTGAAGATCACGATGCGCTGCACTTGTCCGGTGTTCGCCGTAATCGCGTGCAATACTTCCTGCAACAGAAAAGGAGAAGCAACATTTTAACGGGCGTTCAGACATGGCGGATATTTCAGAGTCCTGCTGTTTCCGTGCTTTGTTGATTTAAAAGGCAGCGCGCGAGTTGGATCCTCTGAAAAATACCGGGAAATACCTGGGAATATCTAGACTTGTAGATCGGAGGGGATTTCTACGTGACTCGAATTCCGAGCGGAGCATTCCGCAGGAAATAATCATGAGAGATGCTGCCTTTTGATCAACTTAGGATTTGCGAGAGAGATATTTTTGCGTGTCAATCTGTCGCCGTTCTCTCACACCATTTTGTATTTCGAATTCAGATCGTTGATCCGACTCGATTCTTATTCTACTAGAAAGCACGCGCCACTTAATTCTTACTATTTTGAATAGATATGCTAACTATATCATATTATATACCAAGCGCTTTATTTTACTTACGTAAATACCTTAAAAACTAGACATTATGGAAAAAAATGTTTCAAACAAAAGTTTGAGTGTTGGGAGGGAGAAAAGGGAGGACAAGCTTGAATTTTCAAAAGTGGCCTTTTTCAAGGTTACTTGAACGCTAACTTTGCTTTTCAAGTAATAATTTCTATTCGATCATTTGATAGAACACAAAGTTTTACGTAAAAATTATCATGTGTGGACAACACATGTGTGGTCCCAAGTTCATAGTTTTTACGAGTTTTTACGAGATACTTAACAATTATTATTATTTACTTAATCAGACAACATGCAATCTTGGTTTCACAAACAAAAGTTGCTATCCATCAAAACTGCAAAAACAAGAATTTTCAGTGTCATTTGAAGATAAATATTCCTAAGGAAAAAATTATTCTTCTAAATTCGAAGGAGTGCTAAATTCTATATAATGGAGTGATTTAAAGCATATGTGGCGAAAACTTGATTGCAGCTGTATGCAAAACAATTTTCGTCTGAAGTTTGGTTCTCTTCATTCTTTTCGGTTTAATTTTTTTTTCTGTCGTTTCGTCAGAAATATGGCCAAAAATTCGTGAAACATCGGCAAGCCCCCAAGAGAGATCGCATCGTCGATCGTCGCGCGGACAAAGACAAAGACAAAGGACGAAACTTTGCGATATGCACTTTCGTTAACAAAACTTCCCACGTTCTCCCCATATAACCGCTCATATATCACCCCTAGGAATCATTTCGGGATATCTCATCGTTCAAAACAATCATCATTCTTCTTAGTCCGTCAGTGAGACCTGTCGTCGCGGGCAGCGGCGATAGTTCTGAAGCACCTCGTATTTCCGTTAACCCATTTCGAGTACATGATCGATGCGCGTCATATATCATAGGCGCTGCAAATCGAACGAAGTTTACACGATGCGTTTTCTCCGGGGAATCGAGGCGCATGCACAAAGTCGCCGAGGCATAAGTTCGATCGCTCTCGCCGCAGCGCTCGCGATAAGTCTGAACAACAAGTTCACGTAGCGGCGAGAGCCGAGAGGTCAAGGGGCAACGAAACGAATCGCAAGCCGCATTCGCATGCGTCCGCGAGCGTTGCGAGGAAAGAGTCGGCGACGTTTCGACGCGTTTCTATCTCGCTCGCGGGGGAGACGCGTTGCGACCAAAATTTCGAACTTTCGATATTAGAAAATTTCGATATTAGAAAAAATACGGGACACTCGCAAAAATATAATCTTGTTATCAGCGAAATTCTCTCATAAAAGATCTCAAGAGGGTTCTTCCAAAGTCACAAAAAGAAAATATTCCAACATTCAAAGAAAAGAACTCTAGTTGCAAGACGCTGTTTCCTGTAATGCCTTTCTCCAAGGGGAAACTTTTACTGAAAGAGTACTTTTCCTCTAATCAAGTGAACTAGTAGTCGGAAATTTACTAGATGTTATTCTGACTTTTTTCTCTTTTGAATCAAATAGGTTTACTTGAAGCAAAATGCCTCTTCATGCGCGATACGCGGCAAGTAATGCTTGTAGACGAAATTCCTTTAATTTTGAGAATATTGTGCTTAGAATATTTTGGTTTTGATTTTGGAAGAATTCTCTCTTAAGACACAATATATAAGGGAAAATTCATCAGAATTCAAACAATTACACTACTTTGTAAAGTACAATAATTTTTCCCTGAAATTCTATATTTATAACTGATGGTTTAATTATGAATATATCGCAATCAGATAGTATAATTATGAGCACTGCAATCAGTAAAATCTCGCTAATTGGATCAGTTAATAATAGAAAATCAGCTGAATATTTACTGATCATATCAGTGAATTAATTCTCTTATTGATTCAACAAGAAACAGTTTTATTGGTCCACTTCTAGACAATAAGGACGAGATTATATATTTTTGAGAAACCACTCAAGATGACGACTGCGATTTAATCCGCAAATGAAAAAACAATGGTTGTATTTTTAGGTACGTTCGATATCCCGTTTCATATTTCATTTATGGATTTGTGGTGAATCCCGCAACCGCCATTTTTCGCGGGCTCTTATTGACTTTTGAATCAATATTTCATTCGATATCATTAATTTTTGGTTAAATTCTCGATACCATTAATTAACTTGGAATTAGTGATATCAATTTATGAAATAGAAATATGAGAATTTATTATATCGTCTGTTACATGTATTTTAAAAAACTGTCTGATTTTATCGGTTGTCTGCGCGTACAATTGGCAAAGTTCAAATTTATTTAAAAACAGAATGACATGTGACTGTTGCCTAATTTACAAAATCTCAAATGCATAAAATATTTATTATAAGGAAGATTAGGTGGCCTCCAGAGGTATGTTGCCCATGTACTTTTTTAATATTTATCTTGAGAAAAACACTGGAGATAAAGTCGCGAAATGAAGTCGCGAAGTTCTTTTAGAACATAGATACTTTTCTCTGAACTCCATTAAAATAGGAATAATATTACAGTTAGTTAAAAGTAGAAAAAACCTGTGATGCAGTAGTAGCAAAGTAAATTTTCGTGTCTCTCGACATTTTACATTAATACTCTCCATCGTGAATGAATTAAGCGACGTGTTACTAGCTAGAATAAAATATCTCGTAAATGTATAATATATTCTGTTTCGTATAATAAAAGTAATTTTCATTAATAAAATAATTGAAATCGAGCATATAGGCGGACTAAAGTAAAGTTGACCTATAATTAAGGGCCGACGGGACGCAAACCTCTCGCGGAGACCTTGAAACTACTAATCAAGATAAATGTTTTATATGTGGCCTCCTTAGTCCTTGTGCTACTGAGTCCGGGGCATGATGGTCAAGTCGCTGTTATTCCAGAACAAAATATGACAGGATAGTGACGGGGCAGTAAGGCACGACTCTATCATGTTTGTGCGGCCAGTCATAACAATTAGATGCCTGAGAAGTTGTAACTTCGAAATTCTGAAATGTGAGACATCTAACCCCGATCTTCCCTATCTCCGAGAAATTGAACATCGTCACTTGAGAATCGTATCGGCTACACGTCGCTGCTTGTTCACATTTCGGTTATTCCATAACAAAATATAACAGAATAATGGCGAGCAGTAAGGCACGTAGGAGAGGGCTGTCTTTAAACTGAGAGATAAAAATAGTTGGAATAACTATAATCTCACTATATTTTGTAGTTCGTTTTGGCCTCAAACATATATTTATAGTTCATCTAAACATGAAGATATAGTAAAATGAACACAGATTTATAGTCACTATCTTATTACTCTATATATATGGTAAAGCACCTTTTGGGAATATAGTTACATGTACATATATTTGCCAAATATTCCAATTGTATTGACTATATAGTTAATTTCTCTTATCATTCAATATTTGCTACCTTACTATATTTTTTATTTCAAATAATTATAATTCCTGGTAAAAATTTTACACGGGTCAGTTATACTATGCTTATATTGTAAATATTACAAATATTATGGTAATATTTACTATAAAAATTATATTCCTAACCTATAATCTTTTTACTATGCCATTATAGTTCCAAATATCATACATTTTTCTCTCAGTGTATCATGTTTGTGCGATCAATCACAATTAGTTGTTTGAGAAGTTGTAACTTCGAAATTTTGAAATGTGGGACATCTAACCCCGATCTTCCCTATCTCCGAGAGATCGAACATCGTCACTTGAGAACCGTATCGGCTACACGTCGCTGCTTGTTCGCATTTTGGTTATTCCAGAACAAAATATAACAGGATAATGGCGGGCAGTAAAAGGCACGTAGGAGAGGGCTGTCTCTATCATGTTTATGCGGCCGGTCACAATAGTTAGATGTCCCTGAGAAGTTGTAACTTCGAAATTCTGAAATGTGGGACATCTAACCCTGCTCTTCTCTATCTCCGAGAGATCGAACATCGTCGCTTGAGAATCGTATCGATTACACGTCGCCGCACGGAACGCGACAGATCAGAGACGGAATAGAGGCGCGACGTGTCCACCTTGCACTAATTTACATTGCAATTAGCAGTTTCTAGTTTAATCCTTCATCGGTATAGTGCAGGTACGAGGACGTATTTGGGGATTAACGGCCAGCCGAGCGTTTCGACGAATGGCATGATCAAACAACTATGATTCCCAGAAGTCAATGGAACGTTAACGAGTAAAATATTATTCAATCAGCAACATATAAACGCGGATCCGATATGTTATTGCTCCATATCATATTTAACAAAATAATAACTGAAATTGTGTGGGACAAATCGAAGTCTCAGTAATCTATAATAATACATATAACACCCGATGTGTTTCCATCGCGCTTTTACAACCCAATTCAGGTTCAAAGAATCACGATTTATTTTATTAAGCAGCTGTCAATATTGATGTACCAAAACTCACGACTACGTCATACCAAAAGTCGAGCGCGGCAAGTTAAGTGCACTGAGACGTCGATAAACCGTGACACATTTTATTTCAAGACTCTCCCGATAATTGAGAGCGTTTAGCGGTAAACGCGTGCGTGTTTACCTGTCGAGTTAGTGTGGAAATCTCGAATTTGCGCGGCACGA